GATTGCTAGAGCTTCAGCATCCTGCCCCGCCCCCGTCGCAAATAGCCCTGAACCCCCCCCCCCCCCACACACACGTCTCTGAGTCCCTCCTACCACCACGCCAACACCTGGCACACAGGCTCTAAAGACTAAAAGACTACAGCATTTGGTGGCATCTCTGCCAGGCGGTGGCTCTCTAGCTTGGAACACCCCTCCAGATGCCTCCTTAGACCTTGAGATTCCCCAGGGACTGATTTGACTTCTTCTTCTCTAAGAGATAAAGAAGGCAATTGAGGTCCAAGGTATGGTACTTAGATGTGGAGACAAGGGGCTGTGGGGCTGGAAGGACAGGAGAGGCAGGCACTGAAATGGAGGAGGCCTAGCTGGGACCAAAAGGGTCCTTCGCATAGTGGGTTGCTTCCTTAAGGGCTGAAGTCTGCATGCACTGTTTGTATCCCAGACTTCACGTATGCTGTGAGGAGTGCTATGTGTGCACGTGTGCTTGTGCGTGTCTGGGAGGAGTGTGTGCTCGATAAGGAAAAAGCAGGAGCAGCACCCTCCTGGGCTCCCCCAGGCAACAATTGGTTTCATTCATTCATGCCTTCTTTGTTAATGAGTATTTCTTCTGCGAGTGCCCTCAGGCCCTCATTGGGGGGCTGGGGCCAGCTTGGGACCGGGCACACACCAGTTCCTGCCTTGGAGGAACTCCCAGTCCGGCAAGGAGCCGGACCTGGAAAAGCATAAAGCCATTCCCAGTGGAAAGTGCGTTTTGTGGAAAAGACACTGCATTTGGTAGAATCCCTGTCTCTGGGAGTTGCGCTCCTGGCCATGTGACCTGGCCGTGACAGCTGAAATCCTACCACTGGGCCAGGCGGGAATCGTTGCTTTTTGCTAAGGGCAGTGCCTCACTTGGGCATCTCAGGGGGACCTAAGAGAGCCCGCATCAAGCGCTGGACCTGTGGGGGTCATTGGTCCGGCCAGGAGGCTCTGGGGCGCCCAGCTGGGGCGGCAGTGGGCTCATTGGCCACCCTGCGGCCCCGCGCGAGCTCAGCCTGACTCTACCGCTGAAGGGGGCCAGCGGAAGCCCCAAGTGCGGCGGCCTCCCCAACCTTGGCGGCTGCGAGAAGCGGGCGAGGGGCGGGGCCCGCGCGCAAGCAGACGCTGCCAGGGACATGAGTGGGGACGAATTGGGGGGGGGGCTTGGCTGCACCGAACCCTGCAGTGCGGGGGTGGCAACAGGTTCCCATTTGTCCTGTTTGCTGGCACTGCGGGCACGGCAGGCCTCGCACACTGTGCGCTGACTTTGGAGACTCCCTATCTCACACTAGGGTTGGGACCTTGCCAGCAGGGGCCTAGAATGAGGTGTAGGGGAAGTACTCTCCAGGTGTGGCCAGGAGTAGGGCCGTTTGTTGACGCCGAGGATTCCCTCTCCTTCACCATTGCAGGGTACCTCCCTCCCATGTGCATCCCCAGGACAGTTCCTATTACTTCTTCCAGAAAGGCTACCCCAGAGAACACACCTAGACTTCTAAGAGTACCAATATTTCCTTCAGGTTGAAGATCCTTCCTTCAAGCATTCTGAGCCTCCAGGACTGGGAGGGTGGGATACTATCTCTCCAGCTCTCCGCATCCAGGGCCCCATACCACCACTACCCCATTCATAATATAATCAAGACCCCCAGTCAGCCCTACTTACAAGTGTGATATGTTGCAGGACTTCTGTGTTGTCTTCAACCTCTGGCCTACCTCCAAGGTCTTACCTGTAGGTACAGTGGAGTTATGGAGGAAGGACCTAATTTGGATACCCATGGCCAGGCAGCAGCAGATGCCCACTTGTGACACTGTGAAACTAGTATGGAAAGGAGAAGGTAGAATATTGAGAAAGAAACGAGTCATGCCACAGTGCTGCCTCTTTGAGGCCACTGTGAGATAGAGAAGGAAGCCTGCAGACTTGCCCATGAAACCAACAGGGTATAGGGACTGGGACATGAGCAGCCATCCGAGGAGACCTGGCTGGGACTGTGTCCACAGAACCCCAAAACCCTTTGAACACCAACATTGGAACTCATCTTAGAAGCAGGGACATGGCGAGGTGGGAGCTCAGTAGCCTGAGCTCCTTGGCAGTCCACTACAGTGGTGAAGGGGGGCGGGCATGGGACAGGGACGACAGGGGACGGAACAGGAAGGGACTGGAGGGCGAGAACCCTCTGAGGTAGCCTTAGTCTGTATGGCCGACTTCTTCCGCAGCATCACTTCACACAGCATCTCATCTTAACTCTGACTCACTAGAGAAGTCTTTTCAGAAGGCATACGTGGTCTGCAGTGCTGTTAAATGTTCCTCTTTATGAGACTTTCCATTTTTCACCCCTGAGCAAAATGCTTTGCAGTACCCATTATGTGTGCCCCAGTCTGCTTTCTTGTCTTTGCTTCCTTAAGCTGGAGCCCCAGAAGTAACTTATAAGTGTGAGCTTTTCTTGTCTGATTATTTTTTATTTGGGGTTTTCATTGTTTGTTGTTGGTTTGTTTTTTGAAAAGCTGTTTGAGACAGGGTTTCTCTGTGTAGTCCTGGCCGTCCTGGGACTAGTTCTGGACCAGGCTGGCTTCTAATTCACAGAGATCTGAGCATCTCTGTCTCTTGAGTGGTGGAATTTGAGGTGTGTACCACCACCCTTGTCCGGCTTTCTTGTCTGGTTCTTTTTTTCCCCTAGTTTTTCCAGACAGGATTTCTGTGTAACAGTGCTGGCTGTTCTGGAACTTGCTTTGTAGCCCAAGCTGGCCTCAAACTCACAGAGATCTGCCTTCCTCTGCCTCCCAAGTGCAGGGATTAAAGGTGTACAATACCACCGCCCTGCTCTTGTCTATTTTTTGTTGTATATTGTTACACTTGTTTCCAAAACAAAATCCCCCCTAGGATGAGAAGAGCACACTTGTTTAACAGCAACCTTGCTAACACTGGGTGTTCTCATTTTGAGAACATTCTACTAATGTAGTTAACAGGGAAGCGTTTCCTTATTTTTTTGAATTGCCTTTCCTTCCAAGCCTGAGCTTCATCCTTTCCCCAAATATTCTTACCCCATCGCATTCCTTCCTTCAGGCAGAGTGTGCAGTCCTTGAGTTCCTTACCCATTTATCTACGGGGTCTTAACCCTTTGATTATTTTGTGCAAGCTTTATCTTATCTGTTGTGTGTTTTCCTTTAACACTGTTATTTACTTTTCTTGGGCTTTAAGCAGAGAAAGAACACATGGCCAGATGGGGCTTTTTTAGAAGCCTCCCCCTACCTCTCCTTTCATTGTTAGCACTTATCACCCTGATATCTCATTCGGTGTTTTTGCTTATTGTTAGTGTGTCCTGCTGGACTGGAAGACCCAGGCAAGGAGAGCCCCTATGTGTCTTTCCTGTTCATCACCTGTCTGGTGGGCTGGTTGGTGGCCACCAGCTTTTGTGGACCGAATGGTGCTCTGGCATGGGGCAGAGCAGAGACCAAGCTGGTTTCAGAAACTAGGACTTCTGTAGCCATGGCCAGTGCAAAAGACAGAGGGAGCATGGAGATGGTGACACTGCAGAGGAACGACTTCCTTCCGTGTGGATTCATCCAGGGCTTTATGGGAAGAAGGCCATGAGGAGGAGGCAGGGATAGCTTTTAGGATTCATCATGTAATAAGAAAGAGCATAGTGCCCCAGTTTAGAATTGGGTGCTCAGAATCCCTGGGTACCTTTAGCCAGGTCTGTACAAATAAAGCCCGGATGGGAAAGGGGGACCCAGGAGCTGCCTTGTGCCTTAAGTATTTTAATGGCATTTCACAGTAGCCCAAATTGGATGGTTCTGATTAGCCCATTATACAGATGGGGGCCATCTAGTTCCAGATAAGGGCTGATAGTTTAGGATTATTAAGTGAGTTGTTTGAGGTAGTTTCTGGTTCTGGGGCTCTGGGCTTTTGTCCCCACCCCTCTTCCTGCCTCCGGAGACCAGACTGGCGCCTATCAGGGCCAACTGCAACTGGTCCCCAGCTGGGCCCCCGACCTGCCCTTGGCCTCTGCCCCGACCCTGTCCCGCCTGGGTAGAAGCCCTTGCTCAGCCTGCTGCTCGCAACTCCCACCGGGCTGTTCGCTTGCACTGGTAGGCTGGCCTGGCCCCTGAGCCCGCCCTGCCGGCCCACCGCCCCGCCCCACCCCGCCCCTCCGTGTTGCACTAAGTCAGTCCGAAGGCAGAGGCTTCCAAGGTGGAAGCTGGATCCGGCTGCCAGGAAGCGGCCAGCGCACGAGTGGCGCGAGGCTTGGCTTCCACGTGTGAGCCTGCTCCGCCACCCCGCCCTCTCCGAGAGCCCAAGCCTGGAGACTCCCTCTCCAGGGACAATACCTGCGCCCTGCCGTGGCATTAGCTGTGGCCAGGACGTCCACGCGCGGGTCGCCTGCCTCTGGATCTCGCTCCAGGTCTCTCCTTTTGTTCTCTCCTGGGGTGGGGAAGAGTGGGGCCGGGTCAGCTCTTACAAGGACTCGCCTAGGCCCCTCACCTTGGTGACCCTCTTGTTCTCTGGGTTTTTCTGGGCATAGAGGAGATCCAGGCCTTTAACCCAATTTCTCCACACATCCAAAGTCGAACTTGGGAAGTGATGGAGATCGGGGCAAGTGAGAAAGTCAGAAAAGGGGTGTGGAGGGAACTTGCCTTAGTTCTAGAACCCCAGAAAAAGTCTTCATTCAGCTTTCTTCTTCTGGAGTATGTCTCACGCAAACTATCTAAGCGGGACCGTGAGCAGCATCCCAGTGGCAGCAGCCTCGGGTGTTTTTCCTGGGGCGCCTTTCTTGGTCTTCTCACTGTGGGTGGAGCGCAAGGAGAGAAGCAGGCGGTGGAGGAATGTCCCTGTAGGGACACTGGGCGCCTGCCCTCAGGACAGGGGCTGACTTCCCGTCTCCAGTAGTCCGTGCCGCGGGACTAGAGACAAACCTGCCCTCACTCCGCGCCTGACCTCTCTCCACAGCACCCGCTGTCCGACGTGCAGAAGTGCAGAACGCCGCGCGCCCATGGAGAGTCTGGGTCGTTCGTGCCTGTGGCTGCGCCAGGAGCTGTCGCCCCCGCGCCCACAGCTTCTACTGCTGGACTGCCGCAGCCGGGAGCTGTACCAGTCGGCGCGAATCTGCGGGGCGCTGAGCGTGGCCCTGCCCTCCCTGATGCTGCGCCGCCTACGGAAAGGGAGCCTGTCTGTGCGCTCGCTCTTGCCTGGGCCACCGCTGCAGCCTCCCCCACCCGCTCCTGTGCTTCTGTACTACCAGGGTAGTGGCCGAAGCCAGCAGGGAGAGGCAGAGGCGCAGGCAGAGGCACAGGCAGAGGCACAGGCAGAAGAAGCCCCAGAATGGGAAGCTGACTCGGTGCTGGGCGTCCTGCTCCAGAAGCTGCGGGAAGAAGGCTACCTGGCCTACTACCTACAGGGTAAGTGAGGGGCAGTGAGCCGAGAGAGGGCACGGGCCGCCTCTGGTGGCCTCTCAGGTCAGGAGAAAGCCGTGCCTTCCGAGGGGATTTCATTATTACTTTATCCTTGGGCAAACTCCACCTTATTTTGTGTAAAATGTGGGTAAGACTTCCTCCCTATAACCTGCAAGACAGCGTTTGGGAAAGCAGACCTGAGCATGACCTTGGGCACGTCCTTTATCCATCCGAGCCCATTTATAAATCTGGAAAATGGGGAGAATGGACATGAATCAGCCGCAAGTGCTGAGTGAGGATGGGTGGGTGTCCACAGCACACACCACACGTGGCGCTCCAGTATAGGTGAAACTGATGGCTTGCGTGTCCCCTTTAGCAATATCTGCAACCCACCTGGGCTGTGTAGAGTCAGCTCTCTAGCCCCAGCTAGGGATTCTTGGCTGCCCAGGTGGCTATAATAGCAAGACCCCCTCCCATTCTTTCCTGACAGGTGGTTTCAGCAAATTCCAGGCCGAGTGTCCTCACCTTTGTGAAACCAGCTTTAGCGGTCCTGCTGGCTCAAGCTTGGCCTCAGTACCTAGCCCCATGCCTGTGGTAGGGCTAGGTGGCCTGTGCCTGGCCTCTGATATCTCTGATGCAGAGTCTGAGGCTGACCGCGACTCCATGAGCTGTGGCCTAGATTCGGAGAGCACCACGTCCCCTCCAACTGGGCTGCTACCACCTTTCCCAGTCCAGATTCTGCCCAATCTCTACCTAGGCAGTGCCCGAGATTCAGCCAACTTGGAGAGCCTTGCCAAGCTTGGCATCCGCTATATCCTCAATGTCACCCCCAACCTCCCTAACCCCTTTGAGAAGAATGGTGACTTCCACTACAAGCAGATTCCTATCTCCAACCACTGGAGCCAGAATCTGTCCCAGTTCTTTCCAGAGGCCTTTGCTTTCATTGGTGAGTCCTCCCTATCCTTGCTGTCTTCTCTCTCCACCTGTCCCCACCCACCAGACTGACTCCTGGCCTCTCCTGCTCCTTACCCTCTTCTATAAGGGAATTCTTGCCCAGCTCAGATACCATTCCCAGAGCCCACAAGGCACTTGGGTGAGGGAGGGGGGTGTAGAGCTCTGGTCATCTGCCAATGAAACTTCCCAGATATGGGCAAAGAAGGATGGGGAGACTGAGATGCTGCCCCCAAAAAATTCACTTGGCTCTGGCCTCACTCATGCTGACCCTTGTCGGGGTGGGGGTATGTTTCTGTCCTGCTCTTCCTAGATGAGGCCTTATCCCAGAACTACGGGGTGCTCGTCCACTGCCTGGCAGGGGTCAGCCGCTCTGTCACTGTCACCGTGGCCTACCTCATGCAGAAGCTCCACCTCTCACTCAACGATGCCTACGACTTGGTCAAGCGGAAGAAGTCTAACATCTCACCCAACTTCAACTTCATGGGGCAGCTGCTAGACTTTGAGCGCAGCCTGCGCCTGGAGGAGAGGCGCTCTGGGGGGCAGGGCAGTGGGGGGCTGGAGTCCACTGTCTCAGACCCACCTTCTTTCTTTACTACCCCTACCAGCGATGGGGTCTTTGAGCTGGACTCCACATAAGAGTTGTGTGGAGCTGCTGGGCTGGTCCCTACCTATGACCCCATGTATTAGCAGGGATGGGATGCAGCCATAAGCGGGGAGGGGGAGGGGGAGGGGAAGCTCAATACCTCACATGGGGGTGGTGGAGCAAGGCAGGAACAGAGCAGAGATTTGCCCTACCCCGGATTCTATTACATGTGCCTATGGGGGGACCCGTGGCTACGGGCCTGACCTGTGCCGCTTTAGAGTGGGACCATGCTCCAGAACCTGCCTCTTCTGCAACTGTTACTTTATTCTTTCCGGGTGGGAGTGGGGCTTCCTAGCCAAGAGACCAACCATTCCAGATTTCTGCCTGCTGCCTGGGCCCTGCCCCTTCTTACAGTTTCCTCTTCAGGAAGATTGTATCACACTTTGCCACAGGGACCTGCTCTCAGTTCCTTCCCTGTCTCCAATGGCCACCTGTGGGGAAAGGCCTCACAACTTTCACTGGTGTAGTCTCCTTCCTTCCTCTCTGACTAGAACTTCGCCTTCTTGGGGCTCTGGGGTGTGGACTCTGAGACGCAATGGCTGCTCGCAACATCCACAGGGACAGCCTCTCTGGGTGGCTTTTTGCTGGGCAGTGTCACATGGGAGGGCATGGGCCTGGGAGCCAATAGGCGGGATCCCACACATCTGGTGCCCTGACTGTTTCTTTCCTCCTCCCCCAGAAGTCTTGACAGGATCACTGAGACTCTTTGTGACTGAGGGTGGTCAAACTGCCACCGGAGGAGATGGGGTCTCAGAGTGAGAGCTGAGGGGGAGGGAGGGAAGGATGAAGGCCTCAATTTTGCTGCTGTGTGTCTCACACAGCCGGTGTTGGTTTGGGGGGCAGGGAAGGGGCCAAGCTGCAGACACACACATGGTCATTCATCGAAGTCCACACCCCTTTGCAAACTGTGTATGTATGTGTGTGTTCACGCTTGCACACTAGCCTCCTCACACATTCAGCCTGGAACTGGCAGTACCTATGGCAGCAGGACCATCTTTTCTCTGAACCTGGAGAGGCTTGTGCTTATTTGTTTTTGTAATCCACTTTATAATCATTTTCTTTAATTGTTCCTCCTGAATAAACAGTTTATTTAATATACTCGACAGAGGGTGCTGCTTCCTGGGCTCCTTGGGGACGGGAGGGAGAGGAAAGGGAAACCTGCCTATCACCCATTCCTCATTTCCCGTCTTTACGCTGCCTGTTGGTTACCTGGTCACTCACAATCCATTTGATCTCCTATTCTAGCACACCCTTAAGAAACTGGGGTGCAACAATAAACCAGATATAAAGAAGCTGCTTCATTTTCAGAGGGGAATGAGATACAGTGTGGGCCAGTGCCGCAATCAAATGCCCCAAATCAGTCAGGAAGTTACAAGTGACCCCCAAGCCCTGAGTCAAAGTGGGCTGGCTGGCTGTGGTGCTGAGGGTGACTAGGCTTCAACAGGGGGAGGACGTGAGCTGGGTGTGGAATCAAGGCTACAAAAGCCTAGGCGAGGTCAGGGAGAGTTGTGCGACGCTTGTTCCTGGGCCATCTGGCAAGTTAGGTAGAGTCCACATCACTGGGCCATGTAAGTTTTAGGTGGGGCTTTTCTGCTCAACACTGCCAGTGCCTTCACACTCAGCCAGCAGACCTGGGAAGCTGTGTTTCCAAAACCTAGAGATAGAACAGAAGGGAAGGAAGAGCAGCAGAACGTGTATGGAGGAGTAATGGAGATCGAGTTGTTTCAGTCGGGTTTCCAGTCAGCACAGGCATACCTGAGGCAATAAGCTTGCAGAGAGAAAAGATTGATTTTTGGCTCACATTTCAAAGTTCCAGGCCATGGCTGGTTGGCCCTGTGCTCTAGGCAGCACCTGAGTGCACGGGAGTGTTGAGTGAGACATATGCGTGACCAAGAGGAAAAGGAAGGGACTGGTATCCCCCAAGACCCTTCAAGACATCTCAAACTGGACTGGGCGCTGGTGGCGCATGCCTTTAATCCCAGCACTCAGGAGACAGAGACAAGTGGATCTCTGTGAGTTCGAGGCCAGCCTGGTCTACAAGAGCTAGTTCCAGGACAGGTCCCAAAGCTACAGAGAAGCCCTGTCTTGGGGGAAAAAAAGATGTCTCAAACTGAAGACATAGCCCTGCCCCCTAGGCTCTACTTCCCAGTAGCAGTGCCTGAGAGACTAAGCTCTTAAACACAGACTTCTGAGACATTCAAAATCCCAACTGCAGCAATAGACTTAGAAATGGGATGTTCAGGTAGCACCCCCAGTACAAAAGCCCTAAAATGAGGGAGAAATTTAAAACCCTTTGACCAAATGGCTGAGCTGGTGATAAAATAAGAGAAAGGTTCTGAGGGGGAGGGGAAACAGTGAGGAAGTCCACTCCAAAACTGCCTGGGGCATAATAGCCTAGGCCTGGGAGCCAGGAGCCTTCACAGGAATGCAGCCTCTCATACCTGTTGGTCTTTCAAACTAGGATACACCATTCTTTCTGGCAGGGTCACATGTAGCCCAGTCTGGCTTTAAATTCAGTGAATTCACTTTGAGGCTGAGGATGACTTTGAATTCCTGATCCTCTCGCTTCCACCTCCCAAGTACCAGAATTCCAGGCAGATACCACCACCACAGCAGGCAAAGTGCTGGCTGACTCATTAAATTTATGGTAGTTTGTGACAGCAGCAAAGAAATACAATAGATGCCCTTGAAAAATACGCCTTCAGAAACAAATAAATCTTAAAATTATATTTGTGTCCAAGTGAAATGAAAAGAAAATGTCACCCCTGAGAATTTCTTGCCACAATAAAAGCAAAACATACACAGAAGGACTTATCACATCAGTGCTCATATACAAGAATGCAGGCAAAATACTCATAAAGTAAAATATTAAAATAAATCTTAAAAATAGCAAAGTTTAAGCTGAGTATGGTAGCACACACCATACTCATTCTGGCATTGTGAGATGGGATCAGGAGGATTAGGAGTTCAAGGCCAGCTTGTACCTTGTACCTTGTCAAAGAACTATTGGAGACATAGACTAACCCAGGGAAGAGCACATCAATTGGTTATTCAATACCAAATGGTCGACTCTAAAGTCATATATACACGTAACATTATACAGACTGAGCAGACTATATTTATGTCATATATGCATGTCAAAACAATTAATACAAATAGAAGCCATGAATTTGAAAGAGAGGAAGGAGTGGTTTATGAAAGGGTTTGGAAGAAGGAAAAGGAAGGGGGAATTTATGCAATTATAATCTCAAAAAATAGAAAAAAATAATTTTGAAAAGACAATGGCTGAAAATTTTCCACTATGGAAAGAGTTTAAGATGGAATTGCTAAGTATCCCCAGTCTCTGTCTTCCCCTTTACCCTTTTATAAATAAAATACCCAACAGTCAATAGTGTATAAACATCCCAGGTAGAGACTTCATTTTCTGTCCTCCCTTGTGCCAACTGTGGTCTTGTTCTTATATATCATCTACTTTTTCTGGTAGTACCTTAGCATTGTGTGTGTTCTTTTCTGTGCAGATGTGCATAGAGTTTAGAAAATAACTTTGGTCGTCAATAATCTCTGAAGCATTGTTCACCATGTTTTTTGAGACAGGATTTCTCTCTAATTTGGAGCTCACCAAGTAGGATACTCTGACCACTCAGTAAGCCCCAGCAATCCTCCTGTCTCTGCCTCCCCAAATCTGGATTTACAGCATGAACTATCACCTCCAGCTTTTTAATGTGGATTCTGGGGTACTGAATTCAAGACCTTCTGGTTGCAAAGCAAAGCACTTTACTGACTGAGCCATTTTCCTAGTCCAGCATTTTAGCATTTTATTTATTTATTAATTTTGGTTTTTTTTTTCTTTTAAACACTGCCTGGCCCATTAGTTCCAGCCTCTTATTGGCTAGCTCTTATATATTGATCTAACCCTTTTCTAATATCCCTGTAACACCACGAGGTGTCTTACCAGGGAAGATCTTAACCTGTGTCTGTGTCCGGTAGGAGAATCATGGCAACTCCTTGACTCAGCTTTTTTCTCCCAGCATTCTGTTCTGTTTACTCCGCCTACCTAATTTTATGTCCTATTAAAGGGCCAAGGCATTTAACCAATGAAATTAACACAAGCCAGAAGACTCTCCCCATCAACCAATCTAGTTAGAGGGGAAGGTGTATTGCTCTCCACTTAGCTGGGGTCATCCTTGTGGATTCCCTAGCACCAGGATTCTCCCCTCTGAAAATATTTTTTTTTAATTTATTTATTTATTAAGGATTTCTGCCTCGTCCCCACAACCGCTTCCCATTTCCCTCCCCCTCCCCCGATCAAGTCCCCCCCCCTCATCTGCTCGAAGAGCAATCAGGGTTCCCTGACCTGTGGGAAGCCCAAGGACTGCCCACCTCTATCCAGGTCTCGTAAGGTGAGCATTCAAACTGCCTAGGCTCCCACAAAGCCAGTAAGTGCAGTAGGATCAAAAACCCACTGCAATTGTTCTTGAGTTCTCAGTATTCCTCATTGTCCACTATGTTCAGCTAGTCCGGATTTATCCCATGCTTTTTCAGACCTAGGCCAGCTGGCCTTGGTGAGATCCCAATAGAACATCCCCATTGTCTTAGTGTGTGGGTGCACCCCTCGTGGTCCTGAGTTCCTTGTTCGTGCTCCGTCTCCTTCTGCTCCTGATTTGGACCTTGAGATTTCTGTCCGGTGCTCCCGTGTGGGTCTCTGTCTCTGTCTCCTTTCATCGCCTGATGAAGGTTAATATTCCTGAGGATGCCTATGTGTTTGTCTTTGGATTCACCTTATTTAGCTTCTCTAGGAACATGAATTATAGGCTCAATGTCCTTTATTTATGGCTAGAAACCAAATATGAGTGAGTACATCCATGTTCCTCTTTTTGGGTCTGGCTTACCTCACTCAGGATAGTGTTTTCTATTTCCATCCATTTGTATGCAAAATTCAAGAAGTCCTTGTTTTTTACTGCTGAGTAATACTCTAATATGTATATATTCCATACTTTCTTCATCCATTCTTCCGTTGAAGGGCATCTAGGTTTTTTCCAGGTTCTGGCTAT